TAAAGCGCCCGGAATCCAGACGAATACGATGGGAATGAGCGGCCAGATGAAGGCGTGGTTGTAGTAGATCATGAGAATGTGGAGGCGTTGAAAGTTTCGGGTTTTGTGGGACATGTTTTCTTTCCTAAATGAATTAAAAATTCTAAATATGTCTTAACATTTAATCAATCAATCAATGTATTTATTTGATCAAAACGAGGGTTGCAGCCCATATCGCTACAAGAATTCCTGGAACAAAAATGCCAATTCTATCTTAAATCGGTAACTCATCGCCAAAAGCATTACATATTTAATCCTTTCTTTCTGATGGAGTTTAGATTACATAAAATTCGCAACGATAAATTTGTAGAGCCTTTGTCCATTTTTAAAAGATGTATATTCCAAATTTTAGCCCTTTTAAACGGGAAGATATCATGCATTAAGAAAAGTTGCAAATCCATGAAACTGGTTTTCTAAAATCAGCACCATTCTATTAATCAGCTGCCCAGAAATTTGTTGCCCAGGATTTTCAAATTAATTCCCAGAGTCGGGAAATGATTAGAAATGTATTGGTTTTGAAGATGTGGGTCATCAACTATCGAGTCTTATGTTAAATTAACTACACAAAATCCAAAGGAACGTTAATTTAATAAAGAATGAACTTTACTCTGGATTTTGCATAGTTAATTGAATTTTAAATTTCGACTGCATTTATTTTTCAAACTGGTAATAATATTTTAATCAGTTTAGAGAGATTGCAAAATATTCAACCTTGTAAATTGCAGCCAAAATCCGCAACTGAGCAGCACCGGAAATATTGTGAATCCATCGGTTGCCATCATAAAGCTTTGAGCAGCTTTAGAGTAAGCCTCAAACGTAAGAAATACAAGAAAACTCCAACTGGATCGGTTCTTTTCGTGTGAAACTAATGAATACGGGTACTGAACTCGCGTCGGGATGACGAAGAACATGAGCGTCAGGGCGGCATTGTAGAGAAAAAGGATCCAAAATACAGCCAGAAAATTCAAGTCGATAATGTTAAATTTCCAAATCCAATTCCGCATACGGGCAGTTGGATTTTCTGCAACAATTAATTAGCACTTATTTATTATATTATGTACATAATCTATATCGGAAAGTAATCCGATACGGTAATCGGATGATATTTTCTAATTAGTAATCTGGTTACATTCTCTAATCCGTAGTCAGATTACATTTTTAAATCCAATAAATTGTAGGTTACGGATTATGCAATATTTCCATGATTACGGAATACTTCAAATGTGAAATCATACATTCTGATTGGATTATTATTGGATTATATACAGATTATAATCAAATTAATCTGCTTCTCTAACCTATTAAAAGCAAGTCTAAGATTTCCCGTAACCGATTATCTTTTGAAATTAGAGTTGTCATAAATTTATTTAGGTTGCTTGGGTATTTACCTTTCTGCAAAACGGTAGAAAGCTTCTTTAGCCCTCTGAACAACGAGACCACTTCACCCTTCTTTCTATACCCGTTGTAATACGTGGTCAACGACCAGTACGACTGGTTGATCCAAATATAGATCCAAACGACATCGGGAAAGCTGGTTTTCGGCTTTTGCACCACTTGCACGAGACGCCAAAAAAGAAAGCACAAATAAAGAACGGTGTGACCAACCGCAATGGTGAAAGTAAACTTTCTCGAGAAATTCGTGCACTCGGAGACACACTCGTTTCTGTCGTCCCACGTGTACAAATTGCTTCCCAGAAGGGCACAAGTTTTCATGTAAGCTCGAATAATTTGAAGGGTACGTTTGTTAAACATTTTTTGTATATATTTTTGTAAAATATTTATGCAAATTAATCGTTATATTTAGAATTACATAAAATTATGCAACCTTCCTGACTCTTGTAGAAAATAGGATTGGTCGAGAAAATAGAATATCTTTCGAATTTGATTGATTATCGAATCATTTTCAGTTATGGGAATATTGACATTGTGTGATGTGTTGTTTGCTAAACAGTAAGATTGAGTCTATTTTCACGTCAGGAATGAAATAGGTAAACGGTGCAAACTCATTTATTTTTAAGATAGTTGAACCATAGGCAATTATGTTATTATGTGTAACAAATATGTATCTATCCACGTTGTTGGTGGTTAATAATTGGTCTGAGGCGAACTTGGTTTTATTCGTTGTTGCAGGTCTAGGGCATCCAAAATCGGTTTTTCCGATTTTGTAAAACCGGTTAAAAACCGGTTTTCGATTTACCCGAAAACCGGTTTTATAATTTTCCAGAAAAACGGTTTTGTAAAAAAACCGGTTTTATCACACTCGAAAACCGGTTTTCGATTTTTGATAAAAATTGTTTTAGAACCACTAAATATTTGTCATCTCTTGTTTTTCGTCCAAAAATGATTTGTTCTGAAATAGTTTTTTCCAAATTAATGCCCTAAGTGTGTTCAACTTTAAATTTTACCACTTTATATTTATCATATTTTTAAAATTTTGTAGAAAACCGGTTTCAAAAACCGGTTTAAAACCGGTTTTGGAGAAAATCGAAAACCGGTTTTGCGAAAATTTGAAAAACCGGAAAAATCGAAAACCGGTTTTAAGAAAGTTTGGCAAAATCGGAAAAATCGAAAACCGGTTTTTCAAAATTTTCCGATTCTGGATGCCCTATGCAGGTCGTAAGTCGTTCCATGTGTTAGTTGAGGAATTTCTGAAAATGTGCTTCTGACAATCAAACAAAGTGTGTACGTAAAGTAATAATATTTAATTGATTTATTGCATCATAAATAGGCGACAGCTTTTGCACATTAATGAATGATTTTATAATTGATAATCGTAACATCATAAAAATAAACACTAATTAATTATGTATGGGGCAAAATATTTTGCGACTTTGTGCCAAAAAAGGAATAAGTTGTCCAATACTTAACGTTGCATATTTGAAAATTAAATTAAAATATGCGTAATTAGGAATTAATGGATAAACTGATTAATGTTAGATTGACGTTCAAAATTTATCAAAGTACGGGTAATAACTAACTAAAATAGTTTTATACGTAACTATAATAAAATTACATTCGTGATTTTTTATGGCTTAGTTTTATTATCTACATGTGTACTACAATATATGCATCCCATTAAGAATTGTTTTTCTAAATTACGTCTTCTAAAGTAACGTGTGCAAATTGTGACTAAATAAACTAATAATTAATGAAACTAAACATTAACAATGGTAAATTAATTCAGCAATTAAATTCTAATTGAAACCTATTAAATTTCAGCGTTAAGATGATAGATTTGCTATTTTTTGTAACACTAGGAATTCGGCTGAGGTGTAATTTCCACGGTAGGATAACAATGACTCATGACTTCTAATTAAGAACGATTAATTGACTTATTTCTCAACCGAGGCATCAGTTCTGTCTGTGGTAAATGTGGCTGATATATTGAACGATCACGTCGTAGTTTCAGAGAATCACTATTGCCAATTTATTTGACTTCGTAGTACTGCCAACAGCTATTTACATATGTCAAAATAATGGAGAAACGACAACGAATTTAAATTGATAGGTTTTGTAACGCCAGTTTAGAATCATTAATGATTTTTCAAGGCGACCAAATTGGCATAGGGAAATTAAATAAGGAGAAACAATTAACTTCAGATTTGCAAACGATACCAATTTGGTCATCCGTAAATATTTGTAAAGTTTAACTGCATGCTCTTAGTCGTGGATTTCATAATTGTACTCTAAGAACTCCAGTATTAAAATAATACCAGGCGGTATTCAAATATTTCTCAATGTATCTACCAAAGTGGTAGAGGTTGGTACACTAGGGATCAAAATTGTTCGGACGGGTTTCTCATGATCATATCTCATACATTTACTGGCAAATCAATTTGAAATTTGTTACAGTTATACCCAATAGCATTTGTGGGAAAATAGGACTCCAAATTTGAAACAGTTTCGACAAGGTCAAAGGTTATTATTTTTTGACCTAAAACTCCAAAAGTCAGCTACATCAAAGTAATTTTTTCCTTGGTCGTTCTATTTTTGTAAAGTTAGAACATCTCATCCTGAGTATTTTGATATGTGTTGCACCTCTGTGCGATTTTGTTTACGCCCACAGTGATTTTATGACAAGTGCACGAAATATATGTGCATTATGTACATGATTAGAATACATATTTCTTGTATGAAGCACAACATTAATTTACTAAATATATTTATTTCTGCATAAGATTGGGTCGTTGTCCGATTGAGATAAGCGTGCCCTTGTGTAATTTAGGATGCGCAATATTTCACGTGGACAGCAGTGCAGCTTTATATACTCGCTTTAACTTTGAACTTGCCATTCAAGCAAGTATGTATATATGTACATGCAGTTGAAGTAACCCTGCTCATCTTTATAACTAAATATTCTTGGCATGTCAAGTTATTTATGGTTCTCAATAAAGGACACAATCTGGACTTTGGCATCAAATCGGGTGACCAAAGCCGTTATAGATAAAAACTTGATGTACATAAATAAGGTTTGATTAGTGAAGGAGTGTGTATTTATGTACACATGTATGTAACTAGCCATTCATAAGTCATCCAATGCATGCAGCGTTGGCATGATGCAGTTCATCTTTTCTAATTAAGGTATGTATGTATGGAACTATGTTCACATATTCACTAGTAGTGTACAGAGGTTCTTAAAATTATCTATACAAATAAGGGGTCGTAGATAAAGCATGTGACCGATTTTCGAGGAATTTTGACCCCTACCCCCTGAAAATGTGATCTATTTACCCATGTTAATTATAGAACATGGGAAGGATAGGATGTCTTCACCCCTACCCTCCTCAAACCGATTACATGCTTTCTGCACAGTCCCTAAAACCGGTGCGAAACTTATATACATACCTCAGAATTTAATATGAATATGTATATATGTAAATATGTCCGTAACTCTACAATCTAAGAAAGAAATGCGATAACGAAACACGACGTGAATTATGTATACATAAATACTTAAATCACCTCAAAGGCAAATCTCAATCGTAATTTTGCTCCCGATCAATTACATCGTCCAAGTTTCCTTTCATTTTTTTAAAAGAAATTGTTAAACGAGAACATCGTAACAGAGATGAAGCTAAGCTTGATTTTAATTTTATCTCTGGCCTTTATCGGCCATAGCTGTGCAGGTAAGTATTGCAAATATATGCACAACCATGTTTTGAAACAATATGTTGAACAGCAGAGTTTAAAAATCCGATCCGTTTTTGGAATTAAAAAATATACGCTCCGATCCAGTTTTCGGATTTGGAAAACATCCGATGCGATCCGATGTTTTTGATTTGTCACAAAATCCTATCGTTTTTTTTATTTTCCAAAATAACCTGTCTGATCCGGTTTTTTTATTTTCCAATGTATCCGATCTGATCTATCCGTTTTTTTAACTTACCAAAATAACCGATACAATCCGATCGGTTTTTTATACATTAAAAAAATATTCCATCCAATCCAAAGAAATCGAATCGGGCCACTCATTACCCTAAAAAACCGATATCCGACTCGACTAAATATGTTGAAGCGGCGATTTAAAAATGTCTCAGATTATCTTAGAAATTTTAATATCTCCTGTTCATTATGCGAGTCAGAGAGTGTCAGCTTACTACAAAAAAAATTACACAAATTCTTAATTTTCCAGCCCCGCAACTGCCGACATTATTACGAACCTGGAAAACTACGCTTTCCTCCCTTGTGCCTGAGCTGACCACGCTGATTTCCACCGTGCAGTCCAGCGATCAAGTGCCGGAGACGCAGAAAACTCTCGCCGTGGATCAGCTTTCCATGCTGCGTTCGAAATTAACCCTGGCCCTTGGCCAGCCGAATGAGTCAGAGGCGCGCAACGTTTTGTGTGGTACTGGGCCGACAGATGGATTGTCACAGCTCCTTTTTGGTCTCGCTAAGCTTCTCGACGGCCTTGGACTTGGAGAGGTTATAAGGGCTGTCTCGGGGGCGCTAGGACTGTGCGTTTGAAATGACCGCCGCCGCCGGCCGTTAGCTCGACAACCTATGAAAAATGCTGACCTTGATTCACATATCTGCAAAATTTTTAGTAAAATTGATACTTCCGAAAAATAAATTATCTATAAATGTGATTTGCATAAATATGTACAAAAACAAATTGGCATTAATTTATGATTCAAAATTCATACATTTTTTCAGACTTAAACGGTGTAAACTATGTACATAATTTTCCCGTAGCTTTTATCATAGTCTCGTGCACTATAATAAAATCAGGTTCCGGACTTCCATAAATTATGTCACGGACTGGGAAGGTAAAAATTTTGCGGGACGGGCGGATTTGCGAAAAAATAAAATAAGATAAAATAGAATAAGACTGTAACAGGGGGGGATAAAAAATGGGCATTTTCCACAATTCGTGTACCTGCATGGAAACAGGGGTTATTACCACGTGAAGCCCCACATCCACGTGGTGCCTGCCTCCGCTCACCTGCAATGGAAAGAATAAAATCGGGGCGTGAAGTTAATCCGGAGGAGAAACTTGTACAGCTTTCTCTTTCATGTGGGGAGATAATGTACAAAAGCTATTGTATATTGTGTGGTGGCAGGGGTGGATGCATAAAGGATGTCACCTATTTTCCTACCTGCAAACAAATTATAAGCGTGGAAGTATATGTCTTGTGTACATGTTAACGAGAGAAATTTGACGAAAATTCGTGACATTTTTTACGCACATCTCCCATTTTATTTGAGGGGCATTCACTCGTGCATATGTAAATATGTCGGATACTCTGCAATTTTAAATTTACGGCATTATTACATAACTTATCTACCATGCTTATCAAATTTTGATACGTTGGGATGTCTGCATGATCCGGAAAACATGCGTTGACCACTTGACGACCACTAATTAGAATGCATCGCGACAAGTCATCCATAACGAGACGAGGTGACAGATTGGCAGAGATTTCATCATTTGAGGAGAAAATTCATTTCTATTTGCTAAAAATTCGTGCAAATTAAGGGGATTTAGATAATTTGTATTTGCATAAACAAGAAAATGCGAGGTCGTGGAAAGACGACGGAGTACATTCAGGCTCTGAGAGAATGGACGAGCTGGAATAGTTTGAGGTCAGAATTTGCAAAATTTTTGATACATCGTTACAGAAATTGTTTTATTTTTAAATTTGTATCTACATAACTTCACTCTTAGAAATGCAGTATTAACCCTTTAACGTGTATGATTAACGACAAGAAAATGCATTAAATCGGGGACACTATAATTATGTTGTGGTCATGGCGCGGGAGGAGAAATTCAGGAGTTTTTAATAAAACTCGAAAAACTGAAAAATCAAAAATTTAACATTGAGTTGCATAGGGAAATATCCAGCTTTTCGGGAAGAAAATGTTCAAATTTAGCATTGTGTTGGCATAGGAGAAATCCCTCAAATTGCAAAAAATTTTAGGTCGGGGAGAGAAAATGGTGAAAATCAATGACCTCCTAGAAACGACAATTGTCTTCCTTCCGCGCCATGACCACGATTTTTCACGACGACTTTTGTCGTACTCCCGAATTAAACCATTTCTTATAAAACGACTATTGTCGTCGTTACAGTTTAAAGGGTTAACCCTTTAAAAATACCAACCAGGTCGTATTCATGTACATACATATGATTCTACCAAGACGGTATTGATACAGAGGTCGACGCCGCCGATCTCACGCCGCCGCGCCGCCATACGCCGATGATTTTTCCGCGCCGCCGCCGCCGAAAAATTTGATTTCCTATTCCTTTAACATTGCGACGCCGCGCCGCGCCGCCGACGCAGCCGAAAAATCACCAAAGACTGGCGCCGCCGCCGCCGAAAATTTGTCGGCGTCGACCTCTGTATTGATACATTTGTGATACTGACGTAGTAATAGCTTATTGGTATTAAGTTTTCCCATATCGGTAGCAAAGTTTAGTATTAAAACACCAGATTTTTAAGAGTGTATTCATGGATATTTTAGAACTTATTCGTAAAAATATGTACTTGCTCTGATTTCAAGCAGCATTTGGCTGGCAGGAATGGCAATCTTGTTGCTTGTATTGGTAAATATAATTAAAATGAGAACTATCCACTTTAATTAAACTACTTAAGTCTTAAATTATTCTTTAATTAAGCAAAATTTATGTGTCAGATAATTTACGGGATTTGGTGCTGGGACGTTTTTACCGCGTGGAAACGATGGCGACAAAGGAGTCCTGCCCGATTTCGGGCAAAATTTTGGAACAGATTTTCTTCTCCAAATTCGGTGAGAGGATAACAATTCATTCACGCAGTCATTTGCAACTTTGTAAAATGGTTTTACAAACTCGTCCAAAATAAAGAGACTGGACCTGTGTAAGTTTAAAGAAAATTTGGAATTTAGAAAAATTTGAGAGCTAATTTGCGTTCGTAAAAATTTTGTAAAGGTTTGTAAGTTTTACAGAATTTGCAGATTTTACAAGGTTACTAAGGATTGTGTGAATTACGTCAAGGCACTTTTTATTCAAATAAATATGTAGTTAGCAAATAATGCGTATTTAAATAAAAAGGTACTTGCAAATTTTCAGACCGGATTACCATTACATCAATAATTAAAATTGGGATGCTTCTACTAGTGCAAAAATTGCTCGGAAATGCGTTTCAATTTTCCACTTTTGCGGATAAAATGCATGATGTTAGGAAGAAAACAAGTGCAAATTATTTATTTTCATGGAAAATGCTTCATTTACTCCTGAGTAAATGAAGCATTTTAAATAAATAAATATGTAAATAAACCGTCGCAAACGCGCATACGGAAGTAGCTTCAGACGTACTTCACCCCAAACGGTCCCACCACAGCTCGGGAACACTTAATTTCACTCTATTTCATCTATAGATTAATTTTTTATAAAAATCTCATTTTGCCCCAACCACACCCCTGGCGCCTACGGGGTGTGGCACAACTCCGGAACACATAATTTTACTCTATTTCACATATAGATTAAATTGCACTAAAAATCTCATTTTGCCCCAACCACACCCGCTGTCGCCAAAGGGGGTGTGGTCCTGTTGCCCCCAAAAGTTGATAGGATCCTCCCCCTGGGGTCCTATGTATGATGGCGAAAACCGATTTCGATTATCTCGATCCGTTCTCCTGATATCCTGCTGACAGACAGACGGACAGACAGACAGACAGACAGACAGACAGACAGACAAAGTCTTCACATAAAGTAGCTGAAGCTACTTAATAAATATGTATATAATAAATAAATAAAGAAATATGTTACAGGACTGTAACATATTTTTTTATTTATAATTTGCGAAATAAAATGTTGCACATTTACGGATGTTGGAAAAACATGGAATTAATTGTACCTTATTATTTTGCATGAAATATTTCCATTTCCATATGAAAACGAATTCATGACAAAAATGAAAATGCGACATTAACAAAGTTGCTTAAAAATGGGTTGTTTTGAGACGTGGGAAATCTGCTCAGCTCAAATTCCAACTTCACGTCCGGTTTTTCTGTTTATTTACAACTTGAACTTTTTCATATTTCGCTATTAAAACTGCAATTATTAATTGCGTACAAATAAATTTCCATCTTTAAATAATCAATAATGTTCTCAATTTTTATAAAGTTTGTTCGTCTAGAAGCAGGACTTTTTAACAAGATGTCACATTATATAATTCCGTTTTTGCAAATTATTAACAGATCGCTCTATGTATAATTAACCTTTGTTTCTAAACGGACAATTGTCAATTTGCATACATTTCTTATAAACCACGTGTCATGAACTACCGTGGTCCACGTGGTAATTGGACAAATATACATTTCATCTATTTCCTTATAATTTCTCAAATTTGGTTTAATTGGTTTCTAATTTTGTCAGGTTTTCGGCCTCCTTTTCGTGGTCCTGGACCTCGAGGACCACCTCCACCTCGTTTTATGGGTGCACCCCCACGACCGCCCCCCTTCTTTGATGGTACACCTCGATCCCGCATGTTCCAACCTCGTCACGACGGCGGGGGCTGGAATGGGCCTGGAAATTTTGACAATTTTCCCAGAAACGGTCCACCTCCACCATTTGAAGAATTTGAAGAATTTCCTTCATATTTTAATGGTCCTGGAGGAGAATTTGACGAATTTCCACCGTATTTTGAACCAGAAATGTGCAATTCTTTTAACCCCGACGTGGTCATGCGAGATCCGTACAGGGGGGATTTTCCTCCTCCACCTCCGCGTCGTCGGCCTCCTCTCCCTCGATCACAGGATTGGAGGGAGAACCGCATTCTAAGAAATCCACACCCGCACACCTCTCCAAAACCGGAAATATCACAGCAAAATTCACCAAAAGTCAATAAAGTCCAGCCCCTCGCGGATATTGTGAGTAAAGAAAATAAATAATCGGCTCCACCTTATTAAATTTGTGATACAGATTGTAATTAATTAATTATTTCGACAGGGAACGACACCCTCGCCGGTAAGAAAGACGTCTTATCGAGTTAATAACGGTGACACATTGTTAAATCTGTGATTCAAATTGTAATTAACTATTTATTTGGATAGATTACCACACCCCCAGCGATAACTTCGACTCCTAAACAAACTACTAGTATTACTTCCCCACTGGAATTGCAGAAAACGTCGCCAATCATACCTTCAGTCCCGGGAAAAATACCCACACCTCTGGCGATCCTACCGTCAAAATTGGCGATAACGACCCCCGTGGTTGTGGCACCTTCAAAATTAACGCCCTCGATACCAACGATGTCGTCACTTTCCTTAAAAATAAATTCGCCTTCTGGTGCCAAAAGTATCGACAGCGCCGGCGACAACCAAGAAAGAGGAACCACGTCCCCCTCCATCCGCACCGCATCCCGTCGTGAGCGGAATTGTGACACAAATCCTCACCTCGTCTGGGGTCATCGACCGGAGAATATTTTTCGATGCGAGGTACAGACTTATTTAGCAATATGGAATTTACATATAAAATTTGTCAAAATTGGGTCAAAATTTGACCGTCAAATTACTTGATTTCAGTTGTATTTTTATCCAAGCTTTTTGGAAAGTATGATGTACTTTGCATAATTATTTACTACACAGGAGTAATGCAGTAATTCTTAAGAAATTCATGAAATGAGAGGTTGTTTTTCGTTACTTTGTGAAAATGTTGATTAAATTAGATAAAGAATATTATTTCATCGTAATTTCACTCCGATACTTGTGCATACTAAATAACTTTGTAAAGTGCGTAAACCTTGGGAAATTCAGTTGCAGGAACAAAATCTAATTTCTTATAAACACTATTTTTAAATTTAATTTTGCAATTATTTATTAATTCGAACGTTTTTTGACTAATTTTAGCACGATGGTTGGCCCCATGCCGTCCGTAGGCGAGGCCGTCGTGGTTGAGGTGGAACGCGTGACGGGGCTGCCTTTCGAATTCATCGGGCGTCGCGTCCAAATCCTGTCCACGTTGGATGACCTCATCCCGAAAAGTGGGGATGAGGAGGTCGTCCCCCCGGAAACCGACGCCACGTTGGAGAAGGAGTACGCCATGTTTTTAAAGGAGTCCAACCTCACTACCAAGGATGGTGAGTTTTTGATTTTAAAAACGCAAGCCTTTGTAACTTTAACTTTGTGAGTTTTCAAACCTAAAAAAACGTGCTACAAAACCACGTGACTAAATATTGTAATAAAGATTAATAACGCTTTAATTTTATAAAAATAGTCTTTAATAATTTACAAGGTTTAGAAAAAAATCATTAAATTATAGTAAAGTTTACGAATTCACCGTCTTTAAATTCATGCTGCAAGGTACAAAACTTTTTATTCCTAAAACAGCGATGACAATTGTCCAGCAAAACATTTAGAGGAACATTGAATTTACGAAGGTTTAAACTTCACATATGAAAAAAATTACAACAACCTTATCAATCTGTGCAGGTTCTATTATAATTTTGCTAATGTGCATTTCGGAAATTAGAGACGAAATTAGAAGATCACACAGTAATTTAGTTAAAAATAATGAAAAAAGCTCAGGAAAATTCATGAAAAATATACATTAATTTTTTGTAATCTCCTCAGAACCTAATAACCCGATGACCACACCCACGCCGGCCACCACCAAAAAAGGTACTTGCAAAACTTTATATCTGAAAACAACGACAAAATTATGGAGAAAAATTAGCAAAATAATTATAAGAAAAAAAGTCTGTTTTGAAAGTCACTAATTAAAATATTTACATCAAATTAATTTACCCAATTAACCAATTAATTTCCAAAAAAATATTATTCACAAAGTTTCTAAGATTTACGAAATTCTGTAAAACCCATATTAATTTGAAATTCATGACTTATTAATCTGCCATATTGTAACTTTGGAAATTATACATTTCAAAAATTAGAGACAAATTAATGTAAAAAAAATAATAATTTACAAAATTTACAAACTTACGCTAATGAAAAAATTCACATTAATTTTATAACTTTTCCTCAGAACCTGATAACCCGGTGGTTATCGTCAAAAAGACACCCGCCGAGAAAGCGGAGTCCCAGCGCCTCGTCGCCTTTCGCTCGCACATCGCCAGGCAGCACAAGGCGCTTCTGTTCAATCTGAAAAACGCGGACCGCCTGAAGCGCGGCCTGTCGCCGCTCCCCAAGCCCAAGGAAAAGGCCAAGCGACCCGTGAAACAAAGAAATAGAGGAAGAAAGCGGGTAGAAAGAGGGAAGCTGTTTAGAGCTAGGCGTCAGAAACTGGGTGTGGACGGGGTAGGGTCTCCTATTCCGGTTTTAATTCGGAAATAAATTTGTACAGGTGCCGTTTCTTAATTAAGACTGTATTTTCGGATGAAATTACATTCAATGTATGTATAAGAATTATTTAAAATACTGTGTCAAATCACACAGGTCTTGATAACATTGTTAAATCGGTAGGGTTTGTAAAATAATTTAATTCTACAAACTTTTACAAAAAAGACGCCCTTGATCGGAGTAGGTTTACAAAATTTTGTGAGCTAAGGAAATGTTTGTCAAAGTTTGTAAGTTTACGAATTTTGAAATGAGTAAATTTGGGAGCTTTTTCATATTTTCATAATTTGAGTGCATTTTCACACGTGTATGAAAATGCAACCATGACAAAAGTGAAAATGAGTTGTATTGAATTGAGACGTGGGAAAGCAGCTCAGCTCAAATTCTATGTAATTTCACATCTCACATCTGGTCTCTATTTATTTACAAACTTTTACACATTTTGCTAAAATTTTAATTATTAATTGTTCACAAATTATTTTTCGTCTAAATAATCCACGTTTTCCACGTTAAAGTCTTTAAGTTTAAATTGTTTGGGATCAGATTTTTCGTCAATTCGTAATTCCTACTTTTACAAAATATTTATTTCCCGTTTCAAATTCGCAGCACTTTCTAATAAATAAATAACAATTTGTATAAATTCCACAGCTTCATAAAATAAAGGGTCATGAACTACCGGGGTCGGGGTGGTAAGTAATATTTAATCTATAATTAATATTATTTATTAATTTGAGCAAGAAATTATGACAATTTCATAAATATGTATTATTATTTTTATTTTTTCGTCTTTTTTCGTCAGGTTTTCGGCCCCCTTTTCACGGTCCCGGACCTCGAGGACCTGGACCCCCACCACGTTTTATGGGGGGACCACGACCCCTTTTCCGTGACGGTCCGCCCTTCTTTGACGGACCACCGCGACCACGACCCCCCATGTTCCACCCTCGTCACGACGACTTCGACGGCCCAGGAGATTATGACGATTTTCACAGAAACGGTCCATCACCCCCTCATCATCATTTCAATGGGCCTGGAACTGAAGGAGATTTTGACGAATTTCCACCATATTTTGAAGAAGAAATGTGCAATTCTTTTAACCCCGACGTGGTCATGAGGGATCCGTACGGGGGGGATTTTCCTCCTCCGCCACCCCGTCGTCGTCTTCCTCCCCCGCGATCACAGGCTAGGAGGGAGGACCGCGTTTTGAGAAATCCACATCCGCACACCAAAATACCAGAGCCACCACCAAAGCAACCCCCAAAAGTCAACAAGGTCCAGCCCCTGATGGATATTGTGCGTAAAATAAATACGATTAAATACTTAGGATTAAATTTGTGCTGCAAATTGTAAGTAATTAATTATTTCGACAGGTAATGACACCCCCGGTGGGAATATCGACGCCTGTACGAGACAGTGTGAAACTAGAACGGCACGTTTCTTCCCCCGTGGCAAGAGTGGGGCCGACGGTAGAGGTCAAAAGTACGTCACAAATAAGGTCAATAATACAGCCGGCGAAATTAGCGACACCGACGCCACCGGTGGTGTCGCCTATAAAATTTGCGACACCCGTCGTGGCGCCACCAAGATTTGCGACACCCGTCATTGCGCCACCAAGATTGGCGACACCCGTCGTGGCGCCACCAAGATTGGCGACACCCTCGATACCCGTGCCACCACCGACGAAATTAAATACACCACCACCACCAAAGCCAACAACGTCGTCACAGTCCTCCACAATAAATTCAGCAATGTCGGCGGCAGCGGTGCCAAAGCTGACACTCCCTAAAAAAGATGAGCATCATCCCATTGCTGAAAAAGCGAAGGAGTCAAAACCACCCCCCGTTGTGAGCGGAAAGATCACACAAATCCACAACTCGTCCGGCGTCGTCGACTATAAAATATTTTTTGACGCGAGGTACAGTGTCGGACAGATGTCTACGTCCACATAGTCGCGTCAATTTCATTTTCAAATTGTCACTGAACTACTGAACCAATTTTCATCATTGATATATCAAATTCTCACAAATTTAACGTAATTTCATAAAACATATGAGTTATTTCTGAAAATTCTGGGAAAACTGAGAATCATAGTGCAGAGCGAGAGAGGATGAAATTTGAGCGGACAAAAGTCTACGTCCACTTCACTTTAATTGTCAACAACAAAAATCTCTCCAATTTATAAAATCAGGTAACTTAATAAATCTATCAATAACATATGCCGCATTAATTTTTAAATAATTTTCTTCCAGAAAAATATGATGGCGTCGACACGCAAGGAAATTCCTATCGCTATTCGAGATCTTGTCATTCAGGACTGGAAGGGTGGACAAAAAGGGGGCTGTCGCAGAGACAAATATGGACCAAGTATAAATTAGCAAGGACAACCATCCAGACAATCATTAAGAACTTTAAAGCTAATGGTTCAGTCCAAAACAAGGTCAGAAGTGGTCGAAAACCCATTTTGGCTCACCGAGAAGTACGCCACGTGCTCAACAAAGTCAACGTTACACCCTCACTTAGTGCTCCAAAGCTATCTACCGAGATCAAGGAGATGTTCGACAAACAAGTTAGTCCTAGGACCATCCAAAGAACACTGAATAAGGGAAATTTGAAATCCCACAGAGCAGTCCGGAAGCCTCTTATTGTACCGAGGAATGCAACCAAACGAGTGAAGTTTGCCAGAGACCACATTTCCAAGCCACAAACATTCTGGGACATATTTTATGGACTGACGAGTCAAAGTTCAACGTCTGTGGGTCAGATGGGCGTCGTAGAGTGTGGAGGTATCCAAAAGAAGCTTTGAATCCAAAAAATCTCAACCCCACAGTTAAGCACGGCGGCGGGTCGGTAATGGTGTGGGGATGCATGGCTTCAAGTGGGGCAGGAAAAATGGAATTTGTTGACGGAATTATGGACCAATACAAGTACCAGGGAATACTTGACCGTAATATCCAGGAATCTGTTCGAAAACTTGGACTTGGACGACGATTTGTCTTCCAACAAGACAACGATCCGAAACACTCTGCCACGTACACCATGGAATACTTCAAGAAAAAAAAATTTCGAAGCTAGAATGGCCTCCCCAATCTCCAGACTTGAATCCCATTGAGCATCTGTGGGACCACATTGAAAGAGAAATAAGAAAACAATCTTTTTCAGGAATTCCGGGCCTTAAATCCAGAATTCGTGAAGTTTGGGAAACCATTTCTGAAGATGTGACCAAGAATTTGGTAAACTCTATGACTCGACGCCTTGAAGCCGTCCTTAAAGCGAACGGAGGCCCAACCAAATATTAAAAATTAATTGTTATAACATTCCTTATAAATTACAGTTTTTTTGTATGTTTTCTCTTACTGGACGTTGACTTTTGTCCATCCAATTGTTTTCATTTTGAATTAAAATACATCTCTGGCCTAAAATAAATTTTTTAGCGGAAAACTAATAATGTGCTATGAAATTACGTTAAATTTGTGAGAATTTGATATATCAATGATGAAAATTGGTTCAGTAGTTCAGTGACAATTTGAAAATGAAATTGACGCGACTATGTGGACGTAGACATCTGTCCGACACTGTAATTCATGAGAAGTGTACTTTTTTCGGAAATTTACTTGATTTCTTTACTGTTTTCGGGTTTAGGATTTTATGTATTCCGTCCCGACGTTTAAAACTGCGTTTAAATAATGTGTAAACCTTGTAAAATTATCTTACGTATAACTTTCCTGATTCGAAATAGGTTTTAAATTTTACTCCGTATCGTTTTCTTGGTTAAACTATTTTTAATTATTGAGTAATATTCTACGTTTTATTACTTTAATGTTATCCCATTTTACGTAAAATGTGAAATTTTATTGAATCATTTTGAACTTTTTTTGTTTAATTTACGATATTTAAGAATTTACAAATAATGTACAGTGTTTTTTAGCAATTTTTAAACTCTTCCTGATTATTAATTACTGTAATTTTGTCCCATTTCAGCACGATGGTTGGCCCGATGCCGTCGGTGGGTGCGTCCGTCGTGGTCGAGGTGGAACGCGTGACTGGGATGCCGTTCAAATTGATTGGGCGTCGCGTCCAAATCCTGTCCACGATTGAGCAAGTGCTCGAAAGTGGGGATGAGGAGGAGGTCGTCCCCCCGACAAATGACGCCGCGTTGGAAGAGGAGTACACCAAGTTCTTAAAAGACTCAAACCTCACCACCACCACGAATGGTGAGTTGTAAATCGTGAACTGTGTAAACTTTGCAAATTGGGTGAAAAATTTACATTATTACACAGTCCACAAATGATACTAAAATAAACGCTTTAAGTTTTGATTTTGTAAAATACGCTTCACAATTTCCTTCTGTACAAAGTTTACGAAACGTTGGCGTTAATGTTGAGGCAATTCACGCAGTGGTTGGTAACATTTTACATAAGTATGTAAAATCCAAAAATTCTGTAAATTTACAAACTTTAAAAATATTTCTAAAGACAATTAGCTTCAAAATTTTTGTAAACTTATGTCCTCATGTCCTCTTATCATTTTACAAAATTTGCGATTTTACAAAGTCACCGTTGCCTCAGAATTTCCACAATTTACAAAATTACGAAACCAAAATACTAAAACCTTTTTGTTAATCTCCTTAGCAACTGATGGCCCTGTGATCTCTCCAACTCTTGCCGCAACCACTCCCGCCGGCGGAATCGCTAAGACGCCCGTGGATGAAGCGGAGATCGAGCGCCTCGCCGTGTTCCGCTCGCATCTCGCCCTTCAGCACAGGACGCTTCAATTCAATCTGGAAAACGCGGACCGACTAAAACGCGGCCTCCCCCCGCTTCCCAAACCAAAGGAAAAGAAGCCGAAAAGACTGGAACGCGATATTGTTCGGACACTCGAGCATAATAAGGCGTCATTATTGAACTCTTTAAAAGTCAATAAACCCCAATAAAATAGATATAAATAAGTATCATACATATGTACATCATGTATGATACATATAAGTATTAGATTGTTTAAGGATATGCAAATCTGTAGCAAAATTTGTCTTTTAACTCATTCATACCGATGATGTGGTCAGTTTTATAAATAAATTGCAAAGTAACGATGTAGATATCCCGAAATATATTGAACAGGTTTTATTTTTTACATGAATACATAAAGGGTGTTAATAAAGTCCGATCCCATGCATTTTTTGGAGCGTGGTTGTTACAAATTCAGCTGGAACTTTTGAACCAGTGAAGTTATTTATTTCAAATTTTTACCATGGGGGGAACAACTAAACGTGTAAGTCATGAGCATCTTAGCGTTGAGATACAAACATTGCATCAGCAGGGGCTTAAACCTACAGAAATTGTGCAAAAATTGGGCTGCAGCCGCAGAACTGTTTGGAAATGGAAGAATAAAAATTTTGTCCACGACAAAAAGCGACCAGGGCGACCCAGAAAGGTGTCACCTACCACAAAAAGAATGATTAAAAACAGACTTTGCAAGAAAACCGGTAGTTCATTACGTAATTGAGCAAGGGAGTTAAATGACTCAAAACGCTATAAAGAGAAGAAGAAGCAAATTAACTGTGTGACCGTGCAAAAATTTGTGAAAACTACGAAGTGGGGTCACACAGCTTACAAACTAACCAAAAAAACCTCTCATGTCACAAAAATATATCGATGACCGTCTGAAATTTGAAGAACTCCTTCAGAAAAGTGCCCATTTGAGTGAAAAAAGACTTGGTGAAGAATTGCGCAGTCACATCCTTTGGACTGACGAATCTATTATTGAACTATATCCAAAATTGAACCAACAAAATGTTCGTTACAGGACAGAAAACAAATCGGATGTACCATCAAGAGCGATCCCAAAATTCGGGCTTAAAGTTATGGTAGCGGGTGGATTTTGTGCACGTTGCGTGACCCCTCTACATATCATACCAAAAGGCAAATCAGTCAATGCAAAGCATTATATGGAAAAAATATTACCTATCTATTTCGATAGCATGGGGAACAAGGAAATATTTCCGAATGAAAGAAAAATAGTTTTCATGCAGGATGGTGCTATAGCCCATACAGCAAAAGCGAGTTTGAGTCTCATCAAGACGCAAGTTTCAACGGTCTGGAGCAAGGGGGTGTGGCCCGGAAACAGCCCAGATTTGAATCCCCTGGAGAACCTGTGGTCCATACTTAAGGAAAATGTATACAAAGAACCACAACCCCGGACGAGGGAAGAGCTAGTAAAAAAAGTTCAAGATGTATGGAATTCGATTCCCACAGACACATTGGAAAAATTAGCACAGAGCCTTAAACAAAGAGTTGAGGGCATGGTTAAAGTAAATGGTAACAAGACCAAATACTAAGGTAAATATGTCGAACATTTTTTGTAAGTATCACGGGTAGTTTTTTTTATACTAGCCTTCACTTTTTTATAGGAAAAATGGGATCGGACTTTATTAACACCCTTTACATGCACACGTGTTTAAACATTTATTTAATTTAATTGTACATACATATTTATTAAGTTACAACGAACCACTTTTACATAATGAAGGATGAAAGGTGGATTTTTAATTTAAAACTTCAACATTTCGTACCCACCCTCCTCCTAAAAGAATGTGCACAAAAGTGATGTATGTAATATTGTTCGGAAATTAATTTATGCATATTATAGCCTTTTGGATACCGCAAATTTGCGGTTTTCTAGTGTACAAAAGCAGTTTTTAATGTATTCTTCTTACGTTTTTGAACTATGATTTTCTCAATTATGCTCTTCCCAATTTCCAACATGCACACAAGGCCACACGCTACACAACAATACCCCCAAATTTTACACGTAGTGAGAAACTTCGTCCTAAAATCTCTCCTCTCTAACTCATTAACAATCGGTTTTGTCCAATTAGCATAATACATGAATAACTTTCTCGGCCTACTTTTCTTAAACCATTTCTCCCACCAGTGATAAATCCCCGAAGAAATCAAACCCTTTAACCGTCCATACACAAAATTCTTCCTGTGCGTTGAATCAACCTGAAAGCCAACCGAAGTTGACAGAAAGCCATCGTCTGCCCCCTTCATAAAAACTATTCCGTCACCATTATCATTCAGAAATGGTAGCATAGCGTCAATATTTTCAGTGTAGTCGACATACGCAAATTTCCTGGTACACCGGGACAAATTTGAGTACAGATCAGCCCCCCATTTATGATGGAGTTCTTGCCAAATTCGACGACCACTTTGACTGCCCTTGGAAAAGTGTGTCTTACTGTAGACTAGATCACGACCCCCTAGCAACGCCCTACCGATACGTCTGTATCCCGCCAATCTAGTCAAGTTCCCCTCATACAACGCAGCCTCTTGGAATTTCCAGGCAAACTCGATCGAAACGATGGACTCAGCTTGTCTACCCTGCCCGTATGCGTTCTCATAGTCGATGTGCGCCTTAAGTGGGAGAAGAAATTTAAATCCTAGCCCTTCAAGATCGTAGATATGCGACCATACCGGATTTCGGCGGTATGGCTTGATCACTTCTGCGGTAAAGACGTCTTTATACATGCAAATGATTGTGACACAAGTTAGAATCCAGAACCAGAATAAGGCCCTCATTTTGCGGGGAATCACCTTAGTGATTAAAGATGATAGTGAAACCTCTAATAAAATGGAAAACGATACAATGACCATGTCTACATTTGAAGGGCCTGATAGAAAATTTGACATGGCCATAAAGACAGTAATTACGAGTGAAATTAAAATCCAGACCACTTTATCAAAAGGTTTAGTAAACAATTCATACGATTTTTCATGCTCAACACCGTAACACGCAATGAAACTGCAGGCCCTCCTCGCCAACATGATTATTTGATGGTTTCCTCGTTCAAATCGGAAATCGGAGGAGCCAAAATATAAATATTTCTCCTCTACGTCAACTTCCGCCGGGATTGTTAGGTTGTACAGTGTCTCAGAAAATATCGTGTAGGCGAGGAAGTCGTCAAAATTCTTTGAATCGTCCGCGACAGAAAACCAATCCGGGTATTTCGTAGTGAAAAAGTATTTTGACTGGATTCGTCGAAAATTCGTGCGGTATGTGTATACAGGTCGAAGGTCATCCATCCAATTTGGGTAGATCCAGAAGTACGGGGCAAATGTGGTCGAGATAAGGTCCGCCCTTTTGTCGAGGAGGAAGTAACATTCGTGCAAATTTCGTCTGGGGCAGTGAAATTCAGTAAATTTAGGAAATTTATGTACTAGCTGTATCGGGACTGGGTTTGGATGGACGATTTCAGAAAGACGGTGGTATCGATTCAGGTGATAAAACTTAGGATTAGCATCTGGAGTATCCACGAAGACACAGAATTCCCGATTTCCCATGAAATTCAGATCCGTGTGGGATATCACGGAATGAAGTTGGTCTAATTGGATTTCCATTTTTTGTTGGGAATTGGCCAGAAAGATGAAGTATACTGGTCCAGGTGATCCCCAGATGCTTGGAAATATTCTGGAATGTGGGAACTCCCCATTGTACAAAGGACTTTCTGGAAAAACGGTGCTCCAACATAACGGGCGGTGCATGCGATAAGTTATATTTTCGTGGATGAATGGCGACCAGTAATACGATCCGTTTGTCCTGTATTGAAATAGGTGAGCAGTTTTTAAGTGCACGAATATTGGGTGAAATGAAATAAAGTTGAAATTTGAATTGGGAAGAATTAAGGTGATCAAGCAGTGTGAAAAAATTTCTATGACGGGTAACAAGGAGGCTGGTGGGTTCATATTGATGCGATAATAAAGGGTGCAGTTATTACACGAAGTATTATTTTATACAGAAATTTGAGACGCCTACCTGAATGATTTTATTTAATCGATAAATGGAATATTTATTTAGAATCCTACAAAATGAAGGTTTTATAACTTGAACATTAAAATATAAATACACATACTTGAGATACAAAATAATTCTAAAATAATTATAGGCATTGAAATTTGTGCAAATAAAGTGACCCGAAAAAATAAGTGCAGAGTACTTTTATATATTTTCATGTACTGTTGCATTGACTACAAGCCTTTAGCAACTTCCACTTCATCCTCGGAGTAAGATGGTATTTACGTATGCAGATACTTAACCTTAGACTTATCAATGGACACTTGAAAATCAATTGTATGTAAACCTGGCCCACATGTGTACATATTTACGAAGGACTCTTATAGATGTATATTAAAACTCCACTGACACAAGTATCTGGAAAGCAAATAGGCTTCAGTAAAGTTTAACCTGTAATGAGAAATATGTACACAATGTGAAGTGAACACTGTGAAAATATTGCTAATCAGTGGCCGCGGAAGATGATCTTGACCGTGGGGACATGCTTGACAAAAAAAGTCGCAAAAATAGCTTCTTAATTTCACAATATACTGACAAGGAAACATACCGAGGTGTCCAACGAGTTAAGGGTCGACACCTATACCAAAATCACCACAATGCATGACTTATTAAACAAACTGAAGGAATTTCCTTGTAAAATTCACTTTTCGTCACGTTGTGACGATATTTGTGACGAGCGCATGACCATCGGGTTGCCAGCGGGAGAGGTCGGCCGCTGAACGATCAGGTCAACCACAAAGAAGCGTGGTCGTCTTCAGAGATTTCAAATTCTATCAAATTTTGAAAACCACTTGAAATTTTGAAAAAAATTTTTGATTTTCTTCAAAATTTCAAAAATTTCTTCAAAATTTCAAAAATTTCTTCAAAATTTCAAAAATTTCTTCAAAATTTCAAAAATTTCTTCAAAATTTCAAAATTTTCTCAAATTTTTAAAATTTTCTCAAATTTTCAAAATTTTCTCAAATTTTTTTTCAAAATTTCAAGATGTTTTCAAAATTTGAAAGAATTCAAATACTCTGAAGACGACGCGAAGACGACGACGCTTCTCTGTGGTCGACCTGATCGTTCAGCGGCCGACCTCTCCCGCTGGCACCCGATGGTCATGCGCTCGTCACAAATATCTTCACAACTTGACGATAAGTGAATTTTATACGGAAATTCCTTCAGTTTGTTTAATAAGTCATGTATTGTGGTGATTTTGGTATAGGTGTCGACCCTTAACTCGTTGGACACCTCGGTATGTTCCCTTGTGAGTGTTAGCCCGCTTTTTATTTACATAGTAACGTCGAATTTCTTGGGTGAACCCATCAACATCAGAAGTT